TCACGCCCTCGACTCCCTCCCATCTTGCTTGTCACTCTTTTATCTTGCCCGTGTATCTGGTATGCAAGATACATGCTAATTACACTAGATTTTTTTGCTGGTGTTATTGAATAACACCATTGTTTGTCATATTTGAATTGAAAATCTTCTCATTTTCTTGATGTATAGGTGGATAATGAAAAATATTTAAACTAAAATAAGCTTAAAAAAAGAATAATAATTCAACCTGACCAATTTTACTTAGTTTATAATTCATAATTTCTTCTTTAATTGTAATTTTTTAAGTACTACATTACATATCAAACAAAGGAAAATTGTCTTGTGGGTTAATTTATGCTACATATCGAAATAGCTTGAATGCATCAATAATCTCTTAAATTTGTCAAGAAATTTTATATAAACACTAAGATTATAGTATGTCAACCAATTAAGAACATGAATAAATAATGTTGAAGTATTCCTAGAATGCACTTTTGTCTCAAATTTTAATTTTCTTTTATATACGTGCTCTCAAACATTCATTATGTATATAAGTTCACTACATAAAATAATATTTTTTTAATATAAGCTTTAGCCTCAATCAAACTGTACCTGAGTTTTACTAACATATTCAGGCTAATGTATATAAGGGGTTATATCCATGTATTCAATCATAAATATAAATGTGTATTTTTTTAATATAAATTTTTAAATAAAATGATTACATACTTATATCAAAGTATAAAAAGAAAAGTGTGAGGTTAGGAAAAAGAATAAAACTCACATGTTGAAAATATTATTGAATGAATAATATACTGCTCTTTCTAACCACATCTGAAACTTTGAGAAATATATAATACTCTTTCCGGTCAATGATAGTTGTCCATTATACTAAAAGAAAGTTGTCCAATAATACTTGTTCAATTTAGAAAAACAAGAGATAATTTACCTTTTGTGTCTATTTTACCCTTGCAATTAAATACTATTTATCATCTAACATATTTCTCAAAACATTAAATTTAATAAAGTCAAAGGCTAATATAGTAATATTACTCATATTATTTATTGTTTCTTAAGGAGTGTGTCAAATCAATAATGGACAACTATTGTTGGACAGAGGGAGTAGCAATTAACAGTATTTTTAGAGACTCTCAAGAAAAGAAAGTTTGTGAAGACTAACTAGCAATGAATGTGATGTAGCGAATGAAATTGTTCCTCCCTTAATTAAAAGTCTTGAGTACAGAAAAATCCTTGGTAGAGACAAGAGAGTCATTTCCTCCGAATTGCACCCAACTTGACACAAAACTCAAAATAGTTAGGCTCAAATGCTGTACAAACATTGGGCGGGGGGAAAAATAATTTAAAATTGTGAAGACTCACTAAATTGTATCTTGGATACATTAGTATGTCATCAAATACAAAAGGGATCATTTCACAATCCTAGCAAAATCTATTTTATTTGTTTCCCAGTATTACAAAATTGAAATTTTACGCTTAATCACAACATAGAACGTAATTAAACAAGAATCATAGGATATTTTCCTATGATTCTGTGGCTGAAGTGTACTATACTGTGTGGTCTAGACATTTTTTGCTCTATTGATTGAACAAATCTGCATATTTTCTTCTATTCACATCTCGTGTTCTTGTAGTACCACTTAAGTTGTGGTCCACTCTCGAAGGATGTGGTTCAATGGATGAGGTTGTTTTTTTCTTTAATAAGAGATCAATACAAAAATTTTTTTTGATAGAAAGCGCTTCTCTCTCGAATAAGGCCCTCCGTGGTGTAAAATTGAAATAATTAGACTTCAATACGTACTTTGATAAATTGTGGTCCCTTTCTAAAAGGTCTCATTCCTTTTTCTTTTCTCCTTTATCCTTTCCTAGGAGTTTCAACCTTTTTGCTATTTTAGTGACTCAAATTCATAATTTTTGAATTGAAAGTAAGAGGTACTTACCATACGATCAACTCTCTCTAAAAAGCCTCATTCTAACTTTCTCTTTCTCACTCTCTCTCTCTCACACTGGGGGCTACTTTATTAAAACAAAAAAAATTAATATTTATTGGGCACGGGCACCAAATATCTATATATATGTGTCACAAATGGAAAAGTCCCAATCAAGGAAGCAACATATATCATTTACAAATGACTTAAAAAGCATTAAAAATTACAATAATTACCAATTTAAAATATTTAAAAGCTACATAATACAATACGTTGAGTCTAAGAATTCTATCAGGCTCACATATATTGAGACAGAAAAAATAACACATATCATTTTAAAATTACCAAAAAATATTATAAATAATAATAATTAACAACTTAAAATATCTGAAAGACATTTTAAAAGGGTTAATTTTGTAATTTTATCCATATCACATAAATTAGGACAAAGTGACCAGTAATGTAAGTTATTTGAAAGTTACATAAAAATATCATAAATCACAATAATTAAAAACTTAAAACATTTTTTAAAAAGAATATGAAAATTTGGATGACTCTCCAAATTTTTATTTGTGTTCACATAAATTGAGACAACAAAAATAACATATATTGGGTCCATTTTAATTTATTTATCTTATTTTTTATTTATTTTATATTTAAAAATTGCATAAAAATACTATAAATCATGATAATTGACAATATAAAATATGTTTTGAAAAAAATACAAAAAATTCCACTGATTCTTGAAGTGAATCTATCGTAAAAATAGTATAAATCATGATAATTGACAACATAAAATATTTCAAAAATGTTGTATGTGGGTAGTCTTATTATGCCTTAAATAGCATCAAAGAAAGTACATGTTTGTGATAAAAAAACTTATTCCTTTATCCACACAAACAATCGCTTCAAAAACCCGGTTATTAGCCCCAAAACATATCATTTATAATAGTACGGACCACATTATCTAGTATATATATAGTATCATACAAATGTTTGATGATGGTTGAGATTGTAGAGGTGGTTAAATTAGCTCATGATGCAATGATGCAATTATAATCAGTTAAGTTTAGGTTGATTATTGACATTTTTAGTTATTTTAATATATTAAAATTTGGGCAGATATCTAGTCAAATTGATTCGTTAGAAAATAAAATGTTTTCTCAAAATAATAGTAACTAAAATAATTATTAAAAAAGTAATTAAACCATTAAAATTTAATAGAGTTGATCCGCTTTTTAGCCTAACTCATTTCTAATGGTAGTGCATGTGACCAGTGGCCCACACAATTAACTGATTAAGTAAGTATCGATAAGACCGCGGGTAAAAAAAAGAACTAACATGTTTTAAGGTTGACAAGTTTTTTTTAAAAAAAACTACATTATGGCTAAATAAATTTCATATATATAAAAAATAAAAATATATAAAGTACAAGTTAATAATGTATCTATATTTTTGGGCTTGATAGCATATGGACAACTAGGCTTGTTCATGGTTATGGTTAAAAAATTAAATCGAACCGTGATTCGAACCAAATCGATTAAAAAACCCGATATTTGGTTTGATTTGGTTAGGTTTGATTTTAAATTTTGAAAAATCGATACTATTTGGTTTGGTTTTGGTTTTACTAAAAAATAACTGCAAAAATAATCAAACCGAACCGATAAATTATATATAGAAATTTTATAATTATTTATATATCATTCATAAATAAAATATAAATATTTTGTTAAATTTTAAGTAACTTAAGTCTTTAACTTTACCATTTTCTCAAGCCCAACACTTAAATTTTAGTCTATCTATTACAATCATAACTCCAAGTCTTTACGTACCATACCTTTCATAACATAGTTATACCTTCTCTTAATTGAATCACTTTGTTCGTGTAACGATAACTTTAGCATTGTTTAATTGCTTACTTGAACCGACAATAGCTTTTCAGTGGATTGATCATGTACTAGGTGTTTGTGTCTATCAAGATACGTATGTCCTCAAAAATTTATTACTTTCAAACTGAAAAAACAAGAAAAACTGAACCAAACCATCAATAACCAAACCGACAGTTATTTTTTTTGGTTTGGTTTGGTTTTTGATATTTAAAAAACCGACTAAATTGAGGTTTTAACCAATAACCGATCCAAATCGAACCACGAACACCCCTATCGACAACAAAGCCATGATCTCTTCCATTAGTTGTCCCCTGAAAATAAAATTTTGTATTGATGCATAATATTTAATAAAATATAAAATTATTTTTTCTTCCTAAAAAAATGATTTTAAGTATTATAGTTCAAATTTTATCAATAATATTTTACATTGTTAAATTAGTCTGGGAATGAATTCGGAAGATTCATAATTGTTTTGCACCGTATAAGAACTCCGAGTCAAATGAGCAATTTGAATTAAATATGAACGAGTTAAAATAAATTAAGTTAATAAATAAGTGAATATTGAAAAATATTTAAACTAAAATAAGCTTAAAAAAGGATCATAATTCAAATACATGCCCAATTTTACTTTGTTTTTAATTCATAATTTCTTCTTTTGTAATTTTTAAGTACTACATTACATATCAAACAAAGGAAAATCGTCTTGTGGGTTAATTTATGGTGCATATCGAAATAGCTTGAATGCATCAATAATTTCTCAAATTTGTCGATAAATTTTATTTAGACACTAGTATGTTAACCAATTAATAAGAACGTGAACAAATAATGTTAAAGTATTCCTACAATGCACTTTTGTCTCAATTTTTTTTATATACGTGTGCTCTCAAACGTCCAATAGGAATATAAGTTCTTTATATAAAATAAATTTTTTTTTAATATAAGCTTTAGCCTCAATCAAAATGTGTTCGAGTTTTACAACCTATTCAGGCTAATGTATATAAGGGGTTATCCATGTATTCAATCATAAATATAAATGTCTATTATTTTAGTATGAACTTTTAAATAAAATGATTACATACTCATATCAAAGTATAAAAAGAAAAGTGAGGCTATGAAAAAAATCAAACTCACATGTTGAAAATAATATTGAATGAATAATATACTGCTCTTTCTAATCACCTCTGCAACTTTTGGAAATCCACACATGAATGTGATGCAGCTATGTTTTTCCCTTAATTAGAAGTCTTGAGTATAGAGTTTTTTTGATAGGGAGTCATTTCCTCCGAATGAGGCCCTAGGTGACGTAAATTCAAAATAGTTGGGCTCAAGCAATACAAACATTGGGTGGAAAAACCGAAAAACAAATAAAAAAATTGTGAAGACTCACTAAATTGTATTTTGGATACATTAGTATGTCATCAAATACAAAAAGGGATCATTTTACAATCCCTAGCAAAATCTCGCACGACTTAACTATTTTATTTGTTTCCCAGTATTACAAAATTGGAATTTACTCTTAATCACAACATAATTATTAAACAACACCAACATGAGTTGTAGCGCAGTGATGTGACTGCTTCACCCATAACCAGAGATCTCGGGTTAGACCCTTAGGTATGGAGAAAATCTTGTTGGAATCGGAGCACCACCATTGAATGGCCTTGCAGTGCGCGATCCAATTTATATTGAGTTCCAATGCAGACACCGGGTGGGAAACCAAAAATCTAAAAAAAATAATTAAATAGTATAAAGTTTTCTTGGTGTTACATTTTCATATGACGATTCCGGCGAATGCGATCGACGCCTAGGGTTCACCCTAGCCGGCTCGGGAACACCCGAACCGATTAAATGAGGAAAATTGAGCCGAGCTTTCGAGCCACGAATCTTGAAAGCGGCTTGGTCATAAGCCAATGCTGCATCCTCCGGTGTCTCATAAGTCCCTAACCATAATCTCGCATTTTTCTTATCCGGATCCCTTATTTCCGCCGCGAATTTACCCCACGGTCTCCTTCTTACTCCTCGGTACCGCTTCCAATCTTGTGGCGCGTGTGTCACACTCGCCGCCACGGTCTTAGACTCTTCAACCTCGAATTTTTCATTGGCTTGTAATGTAGTACTAGGGTTTATTAATGGTGTTAATTCCCCATAATCGAAATTATTTTGTGTAAAATTAGTAGGGGTATTATTGGAATCAATAGCTGAAAATATATGTGGAATATCAGAATCATTAAGGAGATGATGTTGTATAGATTGAAGAAGAGAAAAATCAGAGGGATTCATTTTATTTTTTGTTGTTGATAGTTTAGGGTTTTAGAACGTGCAATATTTATAATTATATGCTTGGCTGGTGGATTATTTTTTATAATTATAAGACAAACTTTTTAAAATAAAGTTTGTGGGAATTAATTGCTAGGAAGGTTCTATTTAAGACACCTGCATAGCATGGTTGCTTTTATTTGAATAATGAAGTATATATTTTCGTACTATAATAATGAATTTATTTATTTTCCATTTGACAATTATGGGTTTTTTTTGTTTTTGTCAGATGTAGACCGTGTCTCGTAATAATTACTATTTGGGTGGGGCAAAAAAACACGTTTATTTCTTTTTGGTTTTTTTAATGTTTAAGATCTCAAAAGAAGCGTCTCTTCTTTGAGAAAATTATTGTGCAAGTTAGCAAAAGCAGTGTTCGTTTGAATTTGAGTAGAATTTATTTTTATAAAAAGTTGATATCTTATTCCAAATATTTTTGATTGAAAAGAGAATAACTAGAAAACTACAAGGGGTTTGTCACTACAGTAAATTAAAGGGAAAATACATGAAAAAACTCTCTAAACTTGGCACGAAAACTTACTTTAGTACTTAAACTATACGAGTGTTTAAATATCCCCTAAACATCTTTGAAGTGATTAAAACACCCCCTAAGGGATGATGTGGCAGAGAGAATGAGTGCACTCTCCTGAAAGTGCGTGAAAATAGGGGAAAAAAAGCTGAATTTTTAAAGCCCTACACATGGTCTTTTTTTATTGGCCTATATATAACAAATTATTTAAAATAGTTTTTTTATATATATTAAATCTTTAAAATATGTAAAATTTTCTTAATAAGAGATAAATGAAATTAGTGGGTCCCCTTTTAATTTCTTTAATTTTTTCTTTTCATTTTGTTGTCTTCCTCAATACACATCTTTCTCTATTGAAACATCTCCTCCTCCATCTTCATCCCACCTCTATCCACTATTTTCATTTCACTAGTCTTTTACTAATCCGTAAAATTCAATACCAATGCCATTTTATTAACGCCGATTTCACTCTATATTATTGGTGTCGATTTGGCAAATGTAAACTTTCTTAAATTTTGAGTGACCCATTTTGATTTCTAGATCCATTCAAACACTTCTCATAAAATTTATATTTTTTTGGACTAACTTTCTTATGCAATCTTCATTTCTTATTTGAGTTGTCAAGAAAATATTGACTTTCAAAAAAATCCATTCTCCAAGTGGGTAAATTCGTTGGAAGGGTTCAAAGAAGATAATGTGAATATTAGTGATGTCCACGTGGGCACCTATGTATATTTAAAATACACCATTAAATAGTGCAGGGGAGTAATAGGTCGTGCCCAAAGTTTATGATTGTTATAGCAATTTCGATCAAAATTTATATATATTTCAAACCTTTTTTCCCTAAATAAATGAATCATGGAGGATACGTGAGCATTTTGCAATGGACTCTTATGGATTACTTAGTGACATTAATTAATTCCTTAATAAAGAATAAATTATGAGTGACACTATTGTCCTATTTGAAGTAGTAAAATAATATTATTTTTAAAAAAGTACTTGAAAAGAAAAAACTATTATTTTTTATTTAGAAAAAAAGATATTTCTCATCTATTAAACCAAACAATCAACTAAATATATTTTTGTTGATTTCATTATTGCCATTCAACACATAGTACTTGACTTGTTATTCATTTTTCTGCTCAAATTCAGAGAGTTTTTTTATGTATTTTCCTTAAATTAAAAGAGATATTTAGTGGCGATACATAAATATTTAGTGATAATTGAGTCAACATCATTATATTCAGAGTCGCTAAAGGCTATATAGCGTAAGTGTTGATTATAAATAATATTTATATTATAATATAACGAGAATTATATTATTACCAATAAATTAAATCTTTTATTTGTTATAATGTTATTAGGTTGTAATGTTGATCCCACGTTGTTTGTGGGATGCACAGTTGAACTCCCTTTTACATAGTATTGGGTTAATTTTAGGGATTGAATTAATAAACCCAATATTTATTAATTTTCTTTTTATCAAGTAGCAATTCTGAAATTATAATTAGTTATGGAAAATTATTTTATCATTCTTTAAGTTCGTAGTAATTTAAAAAGGATATTTCTATACATGCATAACCAACCTTTTTCTTAATATTTCCTTAAAATATCTAGTAATTTTTTGTGTCTTCCATTTCATATTAAGAGTTTCTAAGGACATATTATGACATGTCTTATAAAGAACTTTACCTTTCATCTCTTTTCTTTTTCAAATGGGGAATTCACCCAAGGTATATCGTATATTTTTTCTTTAAAAACTTATCAAATTAAAAGTCTATCGGTACTCCATTATCGACCTGCCCTCCATCATAATGCCATATCATCTTCGAATTCAAGCTGAATAAGTGAGGAAAATTTATCCAAGCCTTAGAGCCATGGATCTTATAAGAAGCTTGTAATAAGCTAACGCTGTGAACGTACCCCACGTGCCTCCTCTTTTACTCTTGAGTCTTGACTTGTTCGCAGGAGCTATCGATATTAGTTATCATATATGTTTTTTCAATTAATTTCGACATTACTAATTAATAGATCAAATATTATTAAAAGGATTTAAATTGTTAAACAAAAAAAAAACATAATCATTTAGAAGATGAAATTTGATGTTTTCAAGGATGGAGAGATCATATCAATCTAGTTTTATATATTTTTCGAGTTTTGAGATATGTATGTTGCCTTTAATTTCTTTTGAGCTCAATACTATGAAAGAAATATTTAACAAGGTCCATTGCATTCGCATTTTTATAGAACAATTGTATTTTCCACTATTTAATCATATTTAGGACATACTAAAATATTTATTAACTTATTTAATTCAATAGCACATGGCCTTTTCTTTAATTTTAATTTATTGAAATTTCTTGGAAGCTGCAAGATCATATATATACTATATAGATTAGTTATTTTGAAAACGTGCAAGAAGTGCTCAATTCTTTCATTTTTTTTATTTTTAATGGTAGCAATCTTTTAATCATCTTTTTTATAAGCAATTGAATTATTTATTATTATCAAGGTAGAAAAATAAACTTTAAATATTTATATAAAAAAAGTTATGTGACGTCATGCTCAGAAATAAAAACCTTTTCATAATGTATAAGGAATCATCATCATCAGAAGAAGAAATAAAGTATTTATATTACTAATTTTTATGTACGTTATTATATGTCTCAGACATTCAATTCTCTTATCCATCCAAGAAAAAAAAAAAGAAGAGAACAAGGATTAAACGATCCTATTTTGTATATTTTAAAGACAAAATTTAGAACAATAGTTAATAAAAAGGAAAATTTTAAGTTAAAGATAAAACGTAAAATTATTTATTTTGAATAATTCAAAAATGTATTTAACTCTTTTCCTAGAAATAATAAAATGAAACTTTTTTAATGGCTCACCAAAAGACATATTAGTGTGTCCACCGCTAGAGAATTTTAATGTTTGAAGAAATTAAAGTCAACATATGAAGAAGCACGTAGAGTCGCATGGTCAAAGTCATATGTAAACACAATAAAATGTGGAGGAGAAAAAATACTATTAAAAATGTAAGTTATTATTAAATTATTGGTACATCATTTTCTTTATTTGTACTTTATTATTATTATATAAAGGGAAATGAGTCAGACGAATTTAAATAAGTTTAGAAATGATCATATTTTGTGAGAAAGTGCAAGTCCCGCATATCGTGGAAGAGTTGTTTGAGATGGTTTGAACATGTTCTACCTTAATTTATAAATATATTGGTCATAGGTGTGAAATTTATATGTTATGTGAAGATGTCAAGATGTCGGGTAGAACGAATGTGGAACAAACTCTTAGTAAGTGTAACACCCAGGATTTTTACGGTTGTTTTTTTTGTTTAGTATCGAAGGCTAGGAACCCAAATTTGAGTGTTTTATGTTAACACAATTCGTGTTTGGGAATATCGACTATAAATTAAAAAAATTAGTCATAATATATTTCTATCTTCCTCGTAAAGTATCTTATAATATATATACTTAATTTTTTTTGGTTAAGATGTATTTATAATTAGAATTTTTTTTATTTTATAAAGAATTACCAAGTATAGTTACATCAAGGAATTATTATTATATGAGTAAGGTTTTATTCGAAATTAATAGTGATATATTCAAATTATGTTATATTTTAGGGTAATTTCTATACAACAGTTGTGATATATTCAAAATGAAATTGATGTAGTGTTTGACACCACACCATGGCAAAGCAAGTAGTATAATTTATATTTATCTATCTACTAATACTAGTTTTATAAATTAATATTATAAAACTAGTTACAAAGTTTTAACACCATCGGTTATGACAAAAGTTTCTGCCCCATGCATATACAGCTTTTCTTTTCTTGTGCTCCATGCATCCCACTATACATAGAGTAGGGAACTTATCATTTTGAAATTTATTTCAACCTTGCTTTTAAGGGAGAAACGAAGATGAACAACATTAATGCGTGAGGGCCTCTTGTTGTATTCTACTATATATAACAAAGATATATGATAATTACTTTGGAAGAATTCATAGCAGCTGGAAGGAGATTTGCATAGAATATATGATTCCTTAGCTTGTAGATATTTTATATAGGAGAAAGAGAGCTTCATGGAAATTTTATAACACTCACCTAAGTTCATCTTCTAGGTTAAAGATCCATGATCAGAAGTGCACGCACCTCGATGGAATACTTTCATTTATTTATCATACGTACGTTTAAACTATATGATGCCTGTGGTTAAAGAAAATGTCACTCTAATTCATTAGAGACATAGATTAATAGTAAATAATGCTATACATGCATTATCATTACTCCAATGAAATAATTCCATGTATAAATATAAATTACAAGCAGTTCACCGAAATCCTTTTGTTAGTGTAGATAAAAAGCCACGTGTAAATTTTGTGAAATAGCCTCGAGAGAAAGGGGCTGCGGCTGCGGCTGCGGCTGCGGCTGCTCTTGCTATAATTTAAGGATCATTAGCATAAATGTTTCAAGGAGTAGTAAAGTGAGCGAGAAATTGTCCTTAATGTATAAGTAATACTTTATTTCGTTCGTTCTTAATGTATTTCACTTTATTAAAATGATCCTTAATGTATAACAAAGGTATTCATTTTTTTTTTCTTAATATATTTTACTTGATTGAAATGATCCTTTATGTATAACAAAAGGTGTTCATTTTGGTCCTTTATTCTAAACTTTACAGATTTTATAAAAAATATATATATTAAATTTAACTATGAACCCTACGTGGCTAACAAAGTCCATTGTTATTGTCTTCTTTGTTAGCTCCAAAGAAAAACTCCGTGATATCTAATACCATTGTCTCTATTTTATCTTAATAAAAAAATATTATTTTCTCTTGCTTAAAAAAGAAATGAATATTTGGTCGGTGGAATAATATTTTAGGAAAGAGAGAAATGGTGTTAGTTTTTTTGGAGTTCTTTCTTTAGAGCTAACAAAGAAGATAAAATGGTGATTTTTTTTATGACAAGGGAAACCCGCAACCGCTATCATTTGGGTGCACACAGGATAAAACCCCCGCTCCTATACAATAGCTCGCAAACCACATAGGAGAGGTAACCCGCACAACAATGGTGAATTTTACTAGCAACGTAAGGTCCATAGTTGAATTTAACACATTTTTTTTGACAAATCTGTTTGATTTTAGGGTGAAGGAAATATTTTGTTATACATTAAGGACAATTTCAATCAAGTAAAACACATTAAAGACCAAAATGAACACATTTGTTATACATTAAGGACAATTTCAATCAAGTGAAATATATTAAGGACCAAGATAAAACATTACCCATATATTAAGCGAGCAGGAGATAATAACAAACTATTTGTGTGCACTCAAATGGGCTGAGAGTTGCCTTTGGTTTCTGCATATCTGAAACTTGATTGGAAGAAACTACCAAATTTCTCGTCACCCTTCATCACTCTCTATATTCGACCTTTGCCATTAGTTAGGTTGTGCTTACCTTCCTCTCCCTTTGAGTTTTCAAAGTTTCCCTTTTTCTGCCTTACCTTCCCTGCTCCCTCTCAATTACAACTCCAATCACTGATTTTCAAATTTATAAATCTTAAAGCTCTGAAATACAGAGAGTTTAGTTTTCTTCTAATATTTTTAGTTGCCTTTTTTACTTCAAATTAAGTAAGTAATGAGACACAAAATATAACAATCATATTCACAAGAGTAGATAAAATTTCAGCCTGAGAATTCACCTTATTATGGTCAAGCAGTGGTAACCTTTTCAATTTGAGTGTTTAGCACAACTAAATCTATCAAAAGAATTAGACTCCATATGAGATGTGTGTCACCTTTAAGATATGCAAGTATTTTTCATATTAAAAAAAAGAGAGGCATAGGATGGAAGAAAATGAAATTGGTAACTTACATGCTTGGTGTTTACCTGATACTGCCACTGAGTTCATCGAATTTGTACTTCATTGCCTCCGAGTTATTGTACAAAGATGAAATCTTCAGTTGTTTTTTTAAACAACCTAATCTTCAATTTTTCTTTATTACTCTATAGCTAACTAAAAGGATTTCAAACTGCTTCTGTATCAGAGTACCAAAGGTGTGTCAAAAGAACATTAGACACAAGAAAGCTGCCAGAACAATAGAGATAATCATATTCGGGTTTATCATGAAAAGGAATCATATTGCTAAATTTTATTATATAAGTCGTTTCTATCTCAGTATTTTGAAAAAGGACCATATTGTGACTCTTATTTAAAAACCGTTCCTACCCCTTTTCCCCACCTCTTACCTGAATTGCCACTCTTTTTTTTCTAATAAACATAGTCCTATTTTGGCTGCTAAAAACCATTTTTCAATTCATAAATTTGCACACTATTTCAGGTTTACCAGTAACTATTGGTAGAGACATGTACTGATACAATTTTTCTCTAGGATGCAACACATACCACTTCTGATACCACTATACTAACAACCGGTCAACTAAAAAACACATTACAATCCCCAACTCCAAATGTTGAACTAAATTTTGTCAGAAAAACAAAAGAATTTCAACTACAGTTATTTTATAAATTTTGACTATAAAAGAAATTAATTATAGGATGGATATAGAAATAGTGAAATATAACCATTGTTATCCAGGATATCTTAAGTTAAGAAATGTTCTTGATAACTCAATAGCCCATTTTTTTTTCTTTAAGAGGGAAAGCAGATGACTGTCAAATATGAGAAATTTCAACATTACAGCCAAATTTTGGATACAAGAGTTTAAAAATTACCAATGGCAATTGATGGGGAAGAGGCAAGAAAGTTTGCCATTGCAACGATTGTTGGAGAAGAAGCAAGAATGTCTGCCATTGTAGCGGTTATTGGAGAAGAGGCAAGAAAGTCTGCCATTGCACTGGAGAGGGAGCAGTAGGGATAGTCGATGGTGAAGAGAAGTTGTTGCGTCTATTTCTTAGAGATGAAAAAGAAAAAGTAAAAGATTGTCTAAATATACTACTCCCTCTGTTATTGAACTCTACCTACATATCATTGTCCACAAAACAAACTAGTGAATCGTAAATATCAGTCAGGAGCCATGAGAGCTCTAAATTACTTGAGAAAATACTCTAGAACAAATAGAGTACAACCTACATATCATTGTCAACCAAACACAAGCATCATTATATTAAGAAATTACGGAAGCCATACCAAAGAACAGAATTGTTCAAAGTAATAGTTACCTTCTCATTAACTTTTGGCAGAAGTTGTAACCATTTCTCCTCAAATTTTTCCAGTAATATTTTCTCCATCAGATGAACATCACACTTGCCATCATTGTACTTCATTGCATTCTTGGCAACAGCCTAACATCAACACTAATCTCTATGACACGCTTATACCCGGAGCCATCATTTGGTTCTTTATTGTACTTAAGTCCATGGGTCTGTCAATAATAAGTGTTCATCAGAAAATAACTTAGTAGCTACATGTGATCTCTGGATGACGCTGGTTAAGGCTTCGATTTTAGAATCTGTTGTCCGATTTTGTTGATATGTTTCCTAATTTTTTGTTGCAGGTCCTCGATTTATGTCTATATGTTAGATAGAAGCTCTGGAAGTTCAATAAACATATCAAATTATGGAGAAGAATATAGGAAGAAGGAAGAGAGTCCGATTAACGTATTGTTTCATGGTTATGGTCACTATGACATTGGAGACAATTTTAGAGAAGATTCACCAGAAGTTAGAAGAATAAAAGCATGGTATGATGCCCTTAGAGACATAAAAAGGTAGTTCGACGAACAAATTGATAAGACGTTCAGCTAAACCGTTAACAAAACATTTTCTTTCGAGTCCAGTCAATTTGTTGAGATGATCTTTTCTCTAAAATAGTGAGCTTGTTTCAATTTTGTAGATTCTCTTGTTGCCTTGTACGGAAAATTAGTCGAAGAAATTCCTCAGTACTTCTTTATTAATGTACTTGCGAGTTTCATTCAGATGTTTTCAGTTTGCTTTTTGGTGTCTGAATGGCTCTAGTCCGAATATTGATTTATTAATAATGAAAATGTGACACTGAACTCTCTGATTGTTGTTACTGAATCCGTGTTTGTCAAGTTATCACTCGAACGGATTACGGATATGTTTGTGCAGTCTGGATCTGCTTACATTAGATTTGGGACTTTGTTCCAGAGGGAGCTGTTGGCTAGTTAAGTTTCTCTCTTGAACAAACTTCTCCCCGATAGATCCATTGTCTCTAGCCTTTGTGATCTCCCTATATCCAGGGGCACCGTTAGATGGACGAGGGGGGTCAGTTGAATCTCCTTCGTTGAAATTTATACTGTCTAGGGAAAAAATTGATCTTTTTTGCTTACATATAAATTATTGAATCTCTTTGATAGGATTCTTGTGTACTGATAGAGGTGGTTCAAAAATTGCTTTAGCTTACAATTTTAAATTTCAGTACTGATAGGCATTTGAGATTTAGGGTTGGAACCTCCAAAGATGAAATTGAAAGCTGAAAATTTGATTCGGTGGAACACATTGAATTGAAATTTCTTTGGTGAAAAACTTCGAATTCCACCATTGTTGAAGCTTGGGTTTCAAATTGAAATTTTCTAGGTTATTGACAACTAAATCTAACTTGGTGATAATAATTTAAGATTAAATTTGTCAATATGCAGCTAACACTGGTGAAAACTGTTCAAGTCTCCATTGATCGAGGAGGTACTCTTTTGAGAAATTTTTTGTTGATAAAGTCGAGTGGGATCAAAAATGCAAAAAATATAAAACAGATCAAACAAAGGTGAATCGAAAATTGAAAAAATGAAAGGAAACAGATAAAACTTCAACCAAATATTAAAAGGAAACCATACCTGGCTATTGGCGACTCACTGATTTGAAGAAGAGTTGCTTATGCAAGCTGTGTCGCTCTGACTTTTTTACTTTTTTTATTATTTTTGGTTACAGATAGAGAGAACCAGATTCTTCTAGACTAACAACACAATTATTATTTTTTCCTTATATGAACCTAATATTACAAAACTATCATTGGTCGTCATTACTCTTCACTCTTCTATATATAATAATAAAAATATAATAAAATAATAATAATAATAATAATAGAAATATGTGTGCATATGGCGGTGGTAGTATTAGGGGGATGGAGTTAATTTATCAATTTAAGTGTAGTTATATGTATGGACCCACAATTATAGATAAGAATTCATATTTTTGGAGGGCATTTAATTTTATTGTTGCAAGTATGCTGTGTAAGAAGAAAATATTTTTGTTTCTCATTCTTCACTCTTTCCACAAGGACTTCATAAATACCATACTCTAGATTTAGGAAAAGCTTGGGAAGATAGGTATAAATAATAGCAATTTCCTTTCATAATTTGACTTGTGAGATCTTGTTGCACAAACCGTGCTTGTAGAGCAATATAGCTGAGTATATATATGACTTTATTACACACTTAATTGAGGCATCGATTCCTTCTACGGGTGATGACACTAGTTAAATTTTACTCCTGAAATCAACTTTATTTGGTGGAAAATGTTGGGAAGCGTAAGAAAGAATGTTTTGGGAATAAGGTATGTAAAGGCAAAACTCTATTCTTCATATCGCGCGAAACCCAAAAAAATTACAAATTATCAAATAAGTTGTTTTTACTATTTTATTGCTAGAAAGACCCTCTGTGAAGGGCATTGGGATGTTAGTTGATCTTATTTCTTGAATTTATCGTATCATTATTGTGTTTATCACATTGTGAAGTATGTTTGGCAGTGAAAATTACTTTTCGTCAAGTTTCTTATTCCTTATGTCTATTAGCAAGCTATTTTCCTACGAGTGAAGCTGACATTTTCTAAACTTATTAGGTTGTATTTAAGGGAGTTGTTCAATAATTCCTTTTTGTTAGGTGGTTTTACAAAAATGTTATTTAAAAAGGATACTAACACTAAATGTTGTATTCTATTCTTTTGGTTATATACTTATTGATCAACCTTAATTCAAAAAACTACTACTACCGAATGGAGTCATTCTTAAATTAAGTTAACTATGTCAGTCTCCTTTTGAATTTCTAAATGATTAATTTACTAAGTTGAAGTCGAGTCAAGAGCTTCAAGCCTACTATAAGTTCTATAGGCCTAAATGGTCATATAAGGTTCTACGAGATATTTACATGTTATACGAAAGTTATTACAAGATTAGGAGAACAAGAGTACCAACAATCAAAGATTGGCAACATGATTATGGTAAAAAATATGCATTACGAATCCATGACATGACATGCTATGCATTTTACTCCCGAGCTATAATCGGGAGGTATGAGGCCTCTTGCCTATATTTATAAGTATGAGACACAGATGGCCACAAGTCGAATATGATGCCGGTTAGCTACTGAAAGCCACCACCATTGCTAGCATTTGGTTGGGTATGTCATGCATTTGCATCTATATATATGTATTCACGACATACGATTACATGAGCATACCGTGCATGTTTGATTACTATGAGGTCAAATGTCGGCCATGGGGCTATTTGAGTTTCAGTTTCAGGTGGTATCTCTATTATCCTTTCTTATTGCAACTATTTATGATCACTTTCCGCCTTACGTACAAGTATATTTTCATTCATACTGACGTCCCATTGCCTGGGGACGCTACTTGTCGTACTGCAAGTTCAGATAGAGGTCCTGATTGGCCTTTGCAATAGGGGTGTTAGCTCAGTTGAGAATTGGTAAGCTCCATTCTTCCTGGAGCTTTTGGTTGTCTGTAGGTTCTGCATACTTGATTTTTGTGCATAGGTCTTTGTATTGTTAGGGGTGCGCGCCCTTTCCCAACCATTCGAGTTGTAGTACTCATAGAGACTTGCGGACATACTTTATTGGGTCTTCTCAGCTTCTTTTTATAGCCTTGTTGGCTTATTGTATATATGATTTCAGTTATAGCCTTTTCGGCTTGCTAATTCATTAATAGTTAAGTTGGCCTAGCCAGCCCTTTGACTATGTCATTAATATTTTTGTGACCTTGCCGGTCCAGTTATCTTGTGACAACAGTTGATTGTGAGGGCCTTGTTGGCCCTCGATGTTTCCTTTCCAGTATGTTTCAGTGGCTAGCTCGGTTAATAAGGTACCGGGTGCCTGTTGCGCCTGCCTAGTTTGGGGGTTGACAATAAGATGGACAGCTAATATAGGACAATTGTTTTTAGATGATGATTAACTAATATGAAGCCGAAAAAAGTATTTTACCAGTTAACTAACATTTTTAATGGTGCTTTGAAACTCTAAATTCATTTGTTATTATTTTATAAAATTGTAACAAAAAAATAAAATATTTATTTTTGATAAACTATAAATATCTATATAAGTGGACCAATTGAGAAGAGACATTTTTCAACAAATAATCTCTTTCTTTAAGAGTCATGTCTTTTAGGACCTTAGGTCCTTTACTAAATACTTCTGCACCCAAAAACCCACGTTTCATGTTCAATTCTTTATCTTTCTTTTTCGTATATAAAGGTGGAATACATTTTATTTAGTTTAAATTTTATTTTGACATTGAAATTATAATTTGTTTGATTGAATATTTGAACCTGGTAGACGTTGTAACGATTATGGACTATTCTGGAGATTTTTTTTTAAAAAAAAACTTGTTAATGTAATGTGAGAATACTTGCAAAAAAAAAAAAAAATTTAGTTAAATGTGTCTAATAAGAACTCTTTATCATGTGCTCAATTGTTCAATCAAAATATGCGATAATTGTAATATCGAAATAAAATTTTATATTCTATAAATCTTGTGTCTAGTACATAAAATAAAGATTTTCGCGTGATTCTTTAACAATTCAGAAAATCTTTTACTTTGATTCTTTTACGGTTTTACCTATTCAAAAAAGCATTTTGATTCCTTAATATATATTTTTTTTACTTATTCTGAGAAAGGAAAATAAAAATTACATAAGCTTCTTACCTATTATGTATTTTTGTTGAAAAGTGATCCTTTTGACACCTAATTCTTATAAATTTACATATTAGAACAACCCACCAAATGCTAAGAGTAGGGGTGTTCACGGTTTGGATAAAAACCGATCGAAATCGAACCAAATCGATAAAATAAAACCGATTTTATTTGGGTTTGGTTTGGTTTGGTTTTAGATTTTTGAAAACCGATAGTATTTGGTTTGATTATGATTTTATTCGAAAAGACCAAAGAAGTAACTGAACCGAACCGATGAATTATATACATATATTTTATTAATATACATACCTAATATATTGTTTTTATAAATTATTTTAAAGTTCTTATACATAATTTCATTAAAATTTCTTTATAATTTACTTATTGAAAGCAAAAATGTCCAAGATGAAACATTTATCTTATTGATTTCATGTATATGAGTGTCTATGACAATTCTTTGTGGGACTGAAAATGTTATTGTCTTTCCTTCTAGGCCAATATAGTGAATTTTAAAGCTATATTGATAGTAAATTTAGTGATTGAAAGTTCAGAAATTTAAGTCATTCTAACTATTATTTGTTTTGAATGGATTGTTGTCACTTTTTTCACATTTTAAATGAATTGTTTCTTTTATTTTTGTGTATGATTAATAACCGAATAACCGAACCAAACCAAACCGAAACCGATAACCACCAAACCGATAAATGTATGTTATATTTGGTTTGGTTTGGTTTTGATAATTTAAAAAATGATTAAGTTGGTTTGGTTTTGGTTTTGACCAATAACCGATCCAAATCGACCCGTGAACACCCCTAGCTAAGAGGGATAAAAATATGTGACCAATATAACAAAGATTAGAAATTTATATCAAAATAAAAATTAATATTTTATAAGAAAGTCATTATAGGCTTTATACAAATTAAAATTTAATCGTAAAAGAATCGAATTGTATCCGAGAATATCTTATTAAGGAACTCGATAAAGATATTCATACGGAGCGATAGCCCGAATATGTGTCTAACTAATTATATCCTAATGATTTTATTTTACAAATTTAAGAAATTAAAGTCCTTATTGATTATAAATCAAACAAGTTCCATGAGCATATATGGTTTGTGATTTCTTTTTTCATTTTATATGTTTACTTTTGTATGCATGCATCACATTTAGATCCTAGCTTTTTTGCTAAGGAACAAGGATTTGCGTATGATTATTTCTTTTGTAGGTGGATAATAATTAATATGATAATATCAAGAAACAATAATGATGAAGTTGCAAGGCCTCGAGAGGAGGCCATTAAAATAAAATTTGGCACCAAGTAGTTTGGTTGAGCTACATTATTCTTGAGAAGATGCGCAGAGCTAGGTTTCAGAGAAGAAGTGTGAGAGGTTACGACTTGAACACACAACATTAAGAAATTTTTGCAACCCCTTAACCACTAAACTAAACATTCCACTTATGTCAAGAGGTGTCAATAGTTATATACACATATTTTAAAGCAAAATTTGATCTTATACACAATATAATTTTCCGACGAAGGAGTGTCGCTTGACACCCCTCAACCAAGAGTGGGTCCTCTCCTGGGTAGAAGGTTAGTAGGTAGTGTAGTGTTTTTTTTTTCTTTTTGAGGGTTTAAGCTTATTGATGATTGTCGTTGTACTAACCGTATTATTATAGTTTTTGCATTTAATATCTATCATCATTTGTTATTGCTTACTGTTCGTTTTGATTATCGCACTATTTTGTTATTAGTGTTCCTTTCTTGTAGATTTTACATTGTTTTCTTTGTTAATTGCTATGTTTTCTACATTATAATTTTCTTCGTTTTTGTACTTGGATTTGTTGCACTTGAGTCGAGTATCTTTCGAAAACAGTTTCTCTACCTCCACGAGCTATGATAATTAGGTATGTGTATACCCTACCCTTTTCAAGCTCCACTTATAAAATTTTACTGAATATATTATTATTGATGAGATATACACAAGGTTAAAAAGTGTGAAGAAGACGTACACACTATATTTAACAAATGCAAGACAACCTTATGACTAATACAATTTTTGCCTCTAATTTAATTTTTAGCTAATTTATAATTTTCTCTTCTTTGAAGAGGTATATTCTACCAATGATGACTCTGACGGGTGGCAACGCCTACGCGGAGCCACTCTAATCGGCTCGGATTTGTTCGAGCCGATTAAATGAGGGAAATTCAGTCGAGCCTTAGAGCCACGGATCTTATAAGCGGCTTGGTCATACGCCAATGCTGCATCTTCAGGTGTCTCGTAAGTCCCTAGCCAAAGCCTAGCACCTTTTCTATCCGGGTCTCTTATCTCCGCCGCGAACTTACCCCACGGCCGCCGCCTGACGCCTCTATACCGGTTCCAATCACCAGGCGCGTGCACACCACGTGCAACTATAGGCTCCTCTTTTGGTTCCTCCTCATGCTCCAATTTATCGACACGTTGCCATGGATTATCAATATTAGTTATCATATCTCCCCAACTAATCTCTGCTGCTGATGTAGAGCTACCATAACTCGAATTCGGGCTATTAATAATATCTGCATAACTAATATTTATCGGATCGAACATTGAAAGGATTTGAGAAAAATCAGAATCATTAACAAGATGGAATTTGATGTTTTCAAGGACGGAAAGATCAGAATCTGAAATGGTTGTTGTTTTTTGTTGGTACATTTTTTGAATTTTGAATTTTAAGGAAAAAAATTCTTTTACTAAAATTGAAGAAGTGTTGAGCTGATGAGTGTGAATGAATGATGAAGTTATATTTTTTCTTTTCATTTTATAGGGAACCATATTGTCCACTATTTATTTAAAATAATATTTATGTGATCCAACACATGTTTTTTTCATTTTTAAAATTATCATGAGTGTAATTTATTGGAATTTCGTGGAACCAACGAGCCCATCAATCAAAGTACGTTATTTTTAACATGTTTTTATTTTTTAATAACCTTTTTTTATTCTTCTTTTTATATATAATTGATTTAATTATGTATTATTCTTGGAATGGACACCGTCACACTGAGGTAAAAGGTACTATTAAATTACCAACACTTTTGTTCAAGGTATAATCTAGTTGTCACGAAGCAAAGTTGAATATCATGAGGTATCAGATTTAAATTCTAATATAAGGTATTTTTTTTCCGTATCATTTAGCTTTGATAGATAGGTAACATGTCTATTGTAGGTGGGAGATAATAAATATTTCGTAAAATTAATTGAGATGCGTGTAAATTTATTCGGATGCCATGATTATAAAAAGAATATGAAACATCTACTCATTTGATAGGAAATATTAGTTTATTTTCTGCTTAGCTGTTGCTTACAATATAAATTGCTTCTTTTAATAAATAAAAATTATGTTCGATGTGGCCAACTTATTTTAGTGATATTTATAGATTGTAATATATAATCCCAACGAATATACAAGTACGTATGTCATATATTCTTATATAGAAAAAGTCAATTTAAAAAATTAAAAGTTTACAAATTATAACATGTGATGATATGAACGCAAAATAAATAATTTATAAAACATTAATTTTAACTAGAAACAAAATGGATTTAGTCCCTGATTTTATACGTTAAGTTCAATTTTAGTCCCTATTGTTTTAACCAAAGACATGCTCTATTTTTTTTTTAGTTGTTTCTTTTCTTCAAACTACTCTTATGAAAAGAACTTAACTTCAACGATTCAAAATAAAATTAACGAGGAAAGAAGATCAAGTCCTGATTTTATCCAATGGAGGACTAAATCTAGTAAATATATAGTTCATGAATTTTTTAGACCCCAAAATGAATCGAGGAACTAATGATATTTTTAATACCAACAATGATCTTGTTGAAGCAACTAATTGTAGCATCTCTTTCCCTTGAATTTATATCCACCAATATGTGAAAGAGATGGAGGAAGAGTAAGATAAATTTAAAATTGGCCAGCGATGTCAGAAAAAAAATCCTAATTTTGCAACAACATAGGCAAAAACTAATTAGCAACATAGAAGTATTTTATAATTACCAATAACATGTATATGGGAGTTGTTAAAATAATTAAACTCAAGATGAGAAGGAATATTTTGGTGCACCATTTTCCTAATCCGAACCTATAACCTTTTTGAAAAATACTACAAACATCATAGTCCAAGAAAAGTAGTACTAATAAATTAAAAGTAAAAAAGTTGTAGTATAGTAATAAAGAGATAAACAAACAAGTTTATCATACTTATTTTTTACTCTCATATTTTTGAAAATTAATTTCTCGAACTATAGAATATTTAGATCCACAAAGATAAAGGGGTAAAATCTTCATATACCCCACTACTCTTTCATAGCCCGTTTATGAGATTGAAATTCATAACTCGATATTCCATGAAAGTAATAACTTTATTTGGAAAAAAAAAGACACTTTTCTAAAAAAGCTTAGTTTGAAATCTTCCACAACAGGTTAAGAGTACTTTCAGTCTTATCAAAGATATTTAGAAGAGCTTCTAGAAAGATAAGGCATAATATCTATGATAATTCCCCTTTTAAGAATTTACGCATTCTAAATTCTAGATATTTAAAGTAGATGAAATGATCTAAGGTTTTCTTCTTCTTTTTTGACTCTAGAACCAATCCTATTTCAATTTATTATTATATTATATCTAGGCATTCTAACTTCAACCAATTTTATTGTAACATGCTGTTGAAAAGAGAATGTAAATCAGCTATCTCAGCAGAAAAATCTATCACCTAATATGATGAATTCAGGCTTAAATGTAAAATCTAACTATGGGAAATTACCTGTACCTTATAGCAATCACTCAAAACGAAAGCATATAGACTTATATGAATGTAAAATGAATCAGCTCCACAAGTTTCAGCCTACTCATCATCGTCATATTAAAATCTTTCCAACTCAAAAAAGGCAAACAAGATGGAAATAATGGAGTTAAGTGCAAAATATGGCTATCGGATACTTTTGAGTCCATTCACAGCACGGCAAACTTTAAAAGGGAAAGCATCTATGGTCGGAATGCCATCAACAACAAAAAAACTGGCCAGCAGCCCCTCTAATTCTTCCTAACATTGCCCCTACTCCATCACCTTAACCAATAGGGTGTCGTCTCCTGCAAATTTTACAAAGTCAAAAATCAGCAGATGAGAGACTATCTGTACAATATTTAAATAGACACTGACCGTGTAAAGAATTTTTGAGGAATTTAACCTCTTTCCAAGTTACCAATATCTCTTAAAAGTGATATGATAAAGTGTAAAAATACATTCATCAGAGTGTAAAGATATTAAACTCTAATATTAGAGAGTAAAGGCTTCTAGGGTTTCTAGCATTCAACTGGCATGGAAGGATAGATGTGGTTTCATGTCTCCGCCAATTCATATTTTGGTTTGAAGCATTTTCTTGCAATGGCATTGGAATTGACTGAAGTGACCCTGCAGTCCCCCCTTTTCCCAAGAATACAATACTCCATTGGCCACACTTGTGGATCAGTCAATCATAGGATCTTTCTTCCCTTATCAGGTTTTTAATGTGATATATTTCATAGGTCAATATACAGACCATGACTAGCTGCTAAATGACTGGAAAATTTAATCCCGGGATATATAAGACTACTACTACCTCTTCGGTCGGCCTCGGTCTTCCTCATAATCCATCACTCCACCAGATTCAGAGTAGATCTCCTCATGCCCTCTGAAGTCAACGTCGGCCTGCTTACAGTTTGTAGCTTCTGCCACAGAGTAAGTAAGACAGATCGACAAAAATATCCCAGTACTTAAATATAAAGTGAGTCTTCAACATAACAAAAGGCTTAAACACGAACTGAGGGTCATTAGGACTCAAATGGGTAAACTACAAAGATATTCTACCCCAAAAAAGGAATCTCACAACCCAGGTAGACCAAGTCCATCTGCTGAAAGACATGCTCGCCATTCAATATGGCCTGGTGCACTGTGAAGTTATGCCCATAGTTTTTACTTTTTAGAATCAACACAGAACTCATCTCTTGAAAATCTATACTGTACTCACCTTCAAAGAGAGTGACTTCTTCACCTCATCAACCCTTTCTTCAACTTCCTTCCGGTGCTTCCTGTCCGATTCACTCATTGTATCTGCCCATTTGATTTTCTCTTGAATTGAGACAAGAAGATTGTCTGAAGTAGTCAACCTGTTTTTCATCAAAAAATGAAATAAATTTATGAGTAGGTTGGCAATTACAGTTAGATCTTATAGTTATAGCATGCAGAACATTCATAGTTCACACTTCACAAGGACCTCTCATTGTAAGACGGACCACATCAAGTTTACACCAGAGTAACACCACAGCGTACACAAAAACGTCCAACTCTTTTAATCTTATCCCTCACCTAACTTCGGCAATATACCACAAGTCTGCAGATTCAATTTACATTTGATTTATGGCATAGAAAGTTGTGTGGGATTATACTCAGTAAAAACAATTATCATATAATTTCCGCCACAAAAGCTACAAATTTACATTTCCAAAGTTGTGTTGTTCACATAGTTGCAATAAGAGAGTAAGTATAACTACTAATTGAAAAACAGATAAGTATAATCAACAGTTGAAAAAATGGCAAGAATAAGGCTGGAAGACTACTATTAGTTCAAATAAAATGAATGATCAACTTGACATGATTTCTCTTTCATTTTTTGACAAGGTAGATAAGTTTACTAAAAATAGATGATTTTTATGCCATACCAGAGAGAACTTAAATGAACATTCATAAAAACATGCAACTGGAAGGCAAGCAAGTAAGCAGCCTTTTCACTGACCTCTGAGTCAGCATCAATTAGCAAATACCACAGAGGTGTTCCGACTAGTTGTTCCATCCTGTGGACCCAGGACCCCACAGCATGGTGAGATTTTCTACCGACTTGGGGAAGTGTAGGGGGCTCAAACAAATTCATGCAGTCCAATAACATTCGCATAATGACATTCTCAAAATTGGGATCCTAAATTGAATCATTTATGGGTTTCGGGATTGGCTCCCAGGATACTAACCTTAATTCCTTAAAACCAGAATAGACAAGGAATAACATGCTATATAATGGCTACTAATAATGGGTTAAATCTAATCTATATTCCAAAACTAGTGAATATAGATGCATCATCTAGGCAAGTTTGTGTGAACATTCTCAGCACAACTTCACGTCAAACATGACTTGGACACATGCCCGACACAATTTCATACTTAACCAATTTATTGACTAATAAATCATTCAACGGACACAAGGACTCAACAAGGACACATCCGAACACCAATCCACACTCAACAATCTCTTTGGTAGGTAAATACGATAAATTTTATCAGAAAATAGAACTCAACATGAACACAACTCAGTTAGAGAAAAACCCAAAGGGAGATGCAAAATAATACAACCAACTAATAACGAGTTACATATCTCAAAGTGGGCTCAAATAAAAGAACCCAAGAACCATGAATGCACCTCACTACCCAAGAACCTCATTCTATCCTGCTTTCTTTTGACCTTTTCAACAAACACAAGCATTTGTTACTGTTGCCTGATGGCTCTTTCCTTGACAAGTTGTTCACCTTTCCACTTTTCAGCTTTTACAAGCAAGAAGCAGAATTCCCAGAACCCCCCAAGATTTCAGATCTGGACAGCAGGCCTCAATGTTTTACTCCTCCCCTTTGGTACATCCATCATTGAGCTTGTGTCACATGCCAGCATGTGCAATGTTGCATGTCTTCCCTTCATCATTTCAAGCAACAGCACTAAGACAACAAACCAACTAAAGAAAAGACCCTCCCAACCAAAAAACTAACTCTTTCTTCAAACCTAACTTCATGTTTTCTGCCCATCTTCCTTAAACCTACTTCGATCCCAAATACAGCCTCCACTGGACCCTCATGACTTACCAGGCCCCTTTGTTGCCTATCCATGTGAACGGAAAACCACCCACTAACTTACTATATAAGTGCTTCACCGGAAACACCATAACCTACATCTCCTTTCCCTTACTCCTAACAGATTTTATTGTTTCTTGCCAGTAGTGCTGAACTTCAAATAACAGCAACTAAATCTGAATATGCCATCTGATCATCAATGTTGTAGGCCAACAACAATGGCAGATCTTACAACCAAACAGAATGGCTGCACTTGATTTTCTTAAAAAGAAAACAAAAATGAAGATTCAAAAGACCCATATCCAAGTTCCATAGCTTTTTTGGTTCGCTATCCGATCATTGATTTTCCTACCTCCAAAAGGAAAGGTACTTCCCCTTTTGGATTTAAAAAAAAAATGAAAAAGATAAAGTGACTGAGCTCAACCTTTTCACTAATAACTGTTTTCTCAGCCCGTTCACTAAAAATTCCATAGCTTTTGGTTCGCTATCCGATCTAGTGTTAAAAGTTTTTTGCTTCTTTTTTTTTTGTTGTTGTGATGGGTAAACCCAGTGTTGAGTTTTTTTAAGGCAGAGCATCCTTTTCTTTATCTGTGTCCTCCTGCTTTGAAAAAATTTAAAGACTTGACTTGAAACTTTTTGATAAGTGAGAATTCAAATTGAAATTACAAAGATATGGCCCCCAAGGCCTAGCTCGAGTAGCAAAAGGTGGAGGATTAGTGGCTTAGGTCCCAGGTTCAAGCCCCACACCATGCACAGCGAAGCTCGATATTTAAGTGGAGAAGGGTAGAGGGGCGGCCCCATTATCCACCGAGTTTAGTAGGCTGTGATTGGTCCAAAGGGCGGGTCAAAGACGGATTTCTCGGTTATCAAAAAAAAAAATTACAAAGATATGGCCCCCAAGGCCTAGCTCGAGTAGCAAAAGGTGGAGGATTAGTGGCTTAGGTCCCAGGTTCAAGCCCCACACCATGCACAGCGAAGCTCGATATTTAAGTGGAGAAGGGTAGAGGGGCGGCCCCATTATCCACCGAGTTTAGTAGGCTGTGATTGGTCCAAAGGGCGGGTCAAAGACGGATTTCTCGGTTATCAAAAAAAAAAAATTACAAAGATATGTTTCCACCAAAAGCCAAGTCCTTATTTTTCAGCTTACGATCAATATCCACCTCAGTCATCTTTGAGTCGGCAGCCTCAGCTTCAAAGGTATTAATATGACAATCATAAGAGCTGCTCTTCACCATGGTCTAATCCAACATTATACATTACTGAAGAAATTGGTCAGATCCCATAAGCAGATTATGTAACTCATATCACTTCTATAACCTAGACTAGCTGTTTTATTTAAGAAGGATAGAAAAAAGAAATCATAGAAACTGGCATACAAAGTACAGCTCAGTAAGTCATTATGAATGTTAGGAGATCAAGACACGAAGGGGAAGAAAAGAGAACTCAACAACTCTTCAAGAACAGCTATTTATGAACAGAAGATGTTTGTCATATAAATAGGACAACAGACTATCAATAGAAAGATCATATTGTAAAGTCAATACACAACCCCAAGCCCAACTAAGAAACAACTAAATAATATACTCAAACAGAGATAATAGGGCGTGATACAATGATATGGCAATCAAAGTCATCCAAACAAGAACATAGATATACCAGTCAGTTAATGTCTGTAGCATATTCCCCAATTGACCAGGTCTGAGATCTCTCCCTGCAGCGAATTGTACCTATAATTGTGTGGAGACAGTTAATTACCACCTGTCAGCACACTGCAACCAAGAGTTGGCGAAACAGCAAAAACACCATACCAACCTCAAAGCATCTTTTCAACTGGTCCAGCTTTCCCCTAACTATGCCCTGTCCACGGATGCAGAAAAATGGGGAATTAATAATTTTTTTAATAACAGACTGAGACATCAAATCAGTTATTAGCCCAACCCCCACCCCAAAGAGAGAGTGAATAAAGGAAGGGAAGGAAAAGGCAAAAGTAAGCCACAAATAACCTATGAGGCACCAGAACCCATATTAAAAGAATAAGTTGAATTTCTATCCAGAAGGCTAAATAAGCTATCCTAAGAACATCAATAGAAGCAAATTCCTACGATAAACTTAAGTCCAACACACTTCCAATAGTGGAAAGTACAAAGATATCTCTATTCATAACACAATGATCCAAGGAGTGAGAGCTAATACTCACCACATACATGCACTCATTTATGAGAAAATCTTCAAGTTCACGCACATTTGTGACATCCAACTCCTGCATAAGTTGATCATATGGAAGCACCTGGAAAGAGGAAAGGAGTCATTATTGGCAGTGACTATAATAACAAAGGACATCAGTGAAAGAAGTGAATATGAACATCATTATCAAAGGTTGTTGATATATGAAAAGGGTTGTCATGAAGAAACACAAAAGAATGTTAAAGACTGAAAAACATACATATATTTTATTCTTTTCCACTATGAGAAATGAACTTGAGAGATATGATAATCATGCAAATCACCGGAAAACATCTCACAGATAGCACGATATACAAAGTTGTTGACACTGAACAAGGTAAGCATAAAACAAAGTATCCAGTACTTACTTACAACAACATACCCAAAGTAATCCCACAAGTGAGGCATCCAGTATTTACTTGAATAGCATTATTAAAGTTATCACCAAATGGAATACTTTATCATAGTGGGATGACTACACTCACATGTTCCACAACAACAAAATGAAGGAAACAACACTGAACACATTCAAACTAAGGGAGGCTAAGCAAACAACTTTAATAGTACTGATTTGATCCAATGACAATGAATTACATGTACCAATAAATAGATTGTATCCATTACCCTGACCAGATGCCAAAAACAAATTTCAAGAATTCCAACGAACAAGCACCACAAAGCTCTGCCAAGCCTCTTACATTTTTAGCATTAACTAGCTGAAGGAACAAAGCTACTAAGGATGCATCAATTGCTCACTTTTGCCATAAGATAAATTACCATGTCAAAAGGCTTATTACACTTATATGTAGTGTACCTTGCTTGTATCAGCTAGCGTAAGCACAGTAAGTTGCTTCAACTTGAGAGCTTGGGCAGACACCAACTGAGGAAGACGGCCAGCAATACCTAGAAAAAAACATACATGCTAAAACTGACTAATTTGAAATGCTACATTTAGAACTCAGGAGTACGTCATCTTCCTTTACAAAACAACCCTGTTTAGTCATTGATTCATGGTCAATTAGAGTAAGATATTTTCCCTAATCTGTATTTTAAGCAATTATTGTCAATGAAATTTCATCCCTTTGGTACTAGGAAAAACAAAAAGGAAATCAAACCTACGACTGTCTCTCTTTTTGCCAGAGAAAGAGTGCATGTGTAAGAGAAATAGACAGTCCCTCTTTCTAGTGGAAGTTTTACCACTATCACTAAATCTATTTCCATAAAGGTACGTGGTAAGTGGTAATTGACAGTGAGCACTAGCAAACTTAAGGATGTTACAGAGCGACTCACCCGTGATATTAAGAAGTTCACAGCAGCAGAAAAGGCAGCTAAGGACTCATTTGTTTCCATTAAGATTTAATTAAGATGTCTGAATCTGAATATGCATTATTAAGACATCTAAATCTGAATACATTTTTTATTTTAAGATGTTGTCTCTAAAACTAACTGAACACAGTATAATTAAGATTGTTTGTTTTCAATATCCGAATGTGCATTATCTTTTTAAACATAATCAATATAAATTAAATATTATAAAAAGCTCATTTTAGCAAAATAATTTATTTTATAGAAAATAATACATCAAAGATATAAAATAATATTTGATATTTCAACAGCACTTTTACACAAAATATCCATCTTATCAAATTTGTTGAATAACCAAATTCTTACTAGCAAAAAGATTATCATAACTTAAACTTGGAAAATGATATTACTTTATAAAAAGGCAATTGTGTATGAAAGTGATTACTGAAAAGGAATAAAAATTATATCATATTTGTAGTGTTATGTCCTATATACCTGAGCCAAAAAGAAACAAAGAAATAAATTAATAAGCAAAATAGATGAGAAAATGGTGAATGAAGATATTTTTGAAGAATGTAATTCTATCCACTACTATTACTTGATAATATGGCCGCTATGTGGAACAAAAATTTTATTCCAGTCTTGCTACAATAGACAAATCCACATCAACCAAATAATTTGATGGACTTTGTAAGAAAATTTAGAATCATACCAGTTCAAGAAGAACTAGACCTCATAAAGTGCAAACAAATGAGGCCTAAACCATGGCCTTATTAACTTCCCAGCCAGCAATGAACTCAGTTATGGAGATACAAAACTTGAGAAGTTAAAACTTAATATTGATACCCTCATTTGCACTAACGCTCTATTAACAATTAAAAGAATCTTCAAGTTATTATACATATGAGCAAAATCATATTCTGTGTCAAAGAAATACCTCAAAATGATAAGGTACAAGTTCACAATATTATAAAATTTAAGGCATTTAATCTGAAGGAATGGTAAATGAAGTATTACAGATAAGTTGACATAACGGCAATAAAAAGAACAATGATGAAATCTCAAACCTGAAAATCAGATCCAATCAGCTACCCACCCCCACCCAACAATAAAAAATGCTTCTGAATAATCAGATGTAAAAAATGTACGCTTACTTTTGTAGTCACTCCACGTCCCATGAGCAAACAAACGAAGCAAATCAAGGTATACTGAATTCTCAGTTCCTTCAAGCTGCATACAGGTTCCAACAAAAAAACAATTAACCACAAATATGAAAGGGATCCTAAAGTATATATACAGCAATATGGAGTTAACTACACAACTTGCAAAAAGTATATCAAGGTGCAATTTTCAGGTGCTCCTGCATTGAAAGAAATGTTTTCTATGCCCATATTATTCAAAAACTTACGATTCGAGATTCAAATCTCACAATTAGATTTATGTTCCAGCAGAATCAACTATAATCTAAGTCTGTGGTGCATGAATCTAACCTTAATCTTATGATTCAACAATCAACATTGAATCACAGGTGCAATTTATAGTCAAGAAATACCACAATAAAGTGCCCACTCCAGATATGGTCTAACCTGACTTACCAAAAGCACTTCTTTTCCCCTTTATTCCTAGATGTATACCTAATTGTCATAAAAGAACTCTAAAGAGAATCAAAACCCGAGTATAAAACCCATTTCAATATGCTTAGGGTTTTAAGCTCTGAAATTGATGGAATTGCTAGGATGAACCCAAGTTATTTCCTCATTAATGATCAATCTACTGCATCCACTACGCTTCTATAACCTCTTTTAAAATCATTCAAATTTTTTGTAGTAACTTAGTCCATTGTAGTTGTGTTTCCTGATATTCATTCCTTTTGTGTTTTGAAAATCATCTGGTACGTTATCATAAGATAAAATACTAACTTTGCATCTATTTATCCATGATCTAAAACATCTACATAGACTATTTAATATTCAACGTGCAGCCTTTTAAATGAGCAAGAGCTTGTAGCTCATTAGCAAAATATTGTTGTCATTAATCCATCCCAGTTTACTCAAAGCTTTCCTTTTTTAGGACATCCCCAACTTTTTTTCTCATACCACAAGAACAACTACTACGCCTAAAGCAGGCACTTCCATTGTGACAGGAAAATCCACTAATCAAATTATCAGGAAAATGCCATCAACAACAACAGCAAACCCAATGTAATCTCACATAGAGTGTACGCATACCTTACCCTACCTTCGAGAAGGTCTGAAGGTAGAGAGGCTGTTTCCGAAAGACTCAACAAACAGATACCTAGAATGACATCCTATTCCAGCTATTGCCCAATCAATAGCATAACATAACCACAACACAATGTTCACGGTAAATACCTAGAAACCCAGTATAGGGAAAACACAAAAAATTACAATAAACAAATTGACGCAAAACCTACTAACCCAATTATGATAAAAATAAAATAAAATCAGAACAATTATAGATATAGTAATATGAAGGAATGGAAACCTCAAGAACGCTGGGAACAGAAAGAATCTCTGAAAAAGCGAAGAGTGATGGATGCGAAGTGGCTTCAACAATAACACTGGTAAGGGCAGAACCCTTGAGTGCTGATGCTTGTTTCACAAAGAATTCGATGTGCTCAGCTTGCTTTTGTTCGATATCCATCTCTCTATGAATTTGAATTCAATAATTAATCACAGGGATTCAATAACATTTATAGACAAAGAAAATTATTAGGGTTTCTGATTTCTGAATTACAGATTATCACAAAACAAATAGAGAAGAGGGCTTTTTTAACTGTAAATTTTTGGAGTCCCACGGAGAAGAAGGGTCCTTGTCTGATTTGGTATGATGCTATGAGCCCATCGCGGGTCGTTTTATACTTTTGATTTACTTTTAAGGGTCTTTCAATATTTTTCAAGTATCTACGAATTACCTTATACGTATATGAAAATTTTAACGAATTTCAATAACAATATAATTAATGTGATAATAGCATATTGAATATCTTCATAATCAAATTATGTATACTCAAGAAAGATTTTTGACATTAACATACCATTAGTCTTAATCAATTTGCTGTATGTTCTAGGTTAATTTCACATGACAATGTCAGTTATTATATGTTAACTCATTAATAAAGCAGTATTTTGTATTTATACGATCAGATAGGGAGTTACGCAAAAAAGTTAACAAGGAGGAGTTGCATTCTACGATAATCTCATCAATGAGCTCTTAGCAAATGTGATACAATCACTTGTCTCAATCTTTCTCGATTGTAGATATTATTGTTTTTTTTCAATTGACACATTTGTAATAATGAATAACTTGTATCATCTTTTCCTGAGCTTTTATAAATAAAATTTATGTCTTTTATTATAAATTTTATTTATTTCGTCAAAAGCATCTTTCGTCTTGAATTGTATATTGATGATATATTGAATTCTTTGTTTAAGTATTGAGCTATTTCATTTATGATAATTAGGCCTTTCTCCTAACTAATTTTATTTTTTTATAAATTTGGATATTTGGCCTCTTCAAATTTTCTGAACTTGATAATAGGTCTGAAATATATCTGAACTATATTTACATGGTAAAATATATCTAAACTATTAAAGAGCTTTATATAAAGAGTTCCTGTCACGCCCCGAAATAAGGGCATAACTAGTACTCGATACCCTAAAACATCGAGTTACCCATTGAAACATACTAACTAAACCAAACTTGTGAGGCAAAAATATTGGGCAGCACAACCTCTAAAAAGTGAAGCCTGGACCCAGAGGTCATGACCTGAAAGAGAATAATCATACAAACAATGGTAGACAAACCATAAAAATAGATAAAGATGTATTATCTAGCCGACGAGGCCACAACCGAAAACATACCTACTTACACACACACTTATATATGCATGCCAAGACTATTGGCTTGAGGTTGAAACATACAAAAAAGAAAACCCAGAATATTGTGTCCACAATAGCCTCTATGAGTGACATAAGCACTGTCGGGACAAGGCCCCGACTATACCCAAACTGTACAACAAAAGTAAACATCCTCTGATAGCCCCAGGATAAGATGGAGCTTACCAACTCATAGTTGAACCTGAATCCTAGCGGGTGGGTTCGATTAGAGTCCCTGCCTGTACCTGCTTCGCACAAAACAAAAAGCAGCGTCCCCAGGCAAAGGGATGTCAGTACGAATAAAAATGTACTGGTATGTAAAGCGAAAAGTAAAATCGTAAACATTTACTGTAAAAGGGTAATAGAGATACCACATGAACTGAAACCCAAATAATCTCAATGGTTGACCTTTAGCCCCCTACTACTTAAATATGCATGGTATGCTCGTATAATCATATGTCGTGAATACATATATATATA